GGCTCCATCCGCGCCGACTCCCGACCGTCCAGATGTGTCCGTGTCTTGTCGTGTAGAACTGCGTACGTGCAACTGGGCCAGCCTGTGAAAGTAACGCCATGTTACGTAGTGGACGTGGATGGCAACATGTGGCGCGGTCCGGTTAGCTACCATACTTACTACAGGTGGGAAACTATCCTCCATGCATTAAGGGCAACAGTTGTAACGAGGCATACTTTTTATCGATCATTGAATGCTTGAACGAAACAGATCGCTAGCCATTCGTAAATATCTGCAAAACAAGCAGATTTAATGCTTCGTTCATTTAAGACATGCAGTCCAAACTGGTTTAAAGACCTAGGAGTGAGAATAGTTTTCGCAGGGAATGTTTATCTGTCTTGTCAATTTTGCTGACTTAAAAAACAGATCATTATTCCATTAAATTATTTGCTTTGCACATCAATTTATTTATTAAATATATTATTCTTTAAAATACTTTTATGTAAATACATGTTTTTATTTCATGGATAAGGTGTGACAAGCAAATCATTCTCTTTCATGTACACATATAGTAGAACTGTTACTGTTAGAAATTAATTCATGCTTACTGTTTCATTATGTTAGCCTATTTTCACATGTTCTTACTTTTCTTTATTTTTAGTGCTAAACTGTGCAAAGCATCTAGTCATTTCCTTTGCCTATCATTGATCTATATATTGATAGTGTTCTTTTTAGAGGTTCTCATTCCCGCCAAGATCGATGATTCATTCCTCCTTCCCAAGAAATTTTATTGCTATTCTCTTCTTAATCACTGTGCAAGCAAAAGTATAATTAGAAAAAATGTAGGTAATAATTCATCACACTTGCTGTCTGTTTCATGTTTTCCCTTCTCTGTTTTAGAAGTTTACTGAAATTGAATCTCCACAAAATTATGGTTCCCTTGTCTCATCAATGTCTGACTCCGTCAAAATGTGCCATCTCAAAAATTTTGATGGCGCAATTGGCGCCGTACAACCTCCTTCTGGACCATCTGGTTCTCTCAATCTTCTTTTTGAATTAACATTGTTTATTATGTAACTCTTGTAGATCTAGGACAAAGTTGAATCCATTGTAAATTCTTAGGAGCATGCGTTCTTTATTCGTCTATGAACTTTGTTATTCTCAAGTATGCCAGCTCACGTAATACTATTTAAGACTTCTCCAGTCAGACTTTCTAGGAATGTCCATTAATTTTATTAGGAACGTGCGAAGGCAACCTGTATCTGCTTGTGGTGTACAAGTCACAAATACTAAGTTGTATTTCTTCATCTTGTCATTATATAAAGTTGGAAGGATATCGAAAGATTCAACCTGTGTTAAATGTGAATGTGCTAGTATGCTTGGATTTTCGTCTAATATTTAAATAGTAAAGAGGGAATTTCCAGTCAAAAATTAAAAACTCTTAGAAAATTAAAGACCTTAAGAATAGAAGGAGAATTGTTGATGGATGAGAGAGTGTTGATGCCGGCTGTTGACTGTACAAACAGAGGGCGGTGTTTTCATTTCCTTTCCACCCTTCACAAACACATTATAATAATGGACACACGTGGGCCGCTGTCTCTAATAGGGCCTTATGTCAACAATCTCTCCCTATCTCTCTCACTCTCCCTCCCTTCCTCTCTCTGTCTTTCTCTCTCTCTCTCTCTCTCGTGCACTCGTGCCTTGTTTGCTCTCTCCTTCACTCTCTTAGCCGGAGCAAACAGACTCCTAGTCCTACAATCTTAGCGCTGTATGTAAATAGAACATAATCATGCACGATACCGCTCACTGCATAAGCAGCCAGTCTCCGACCTCTTCAGATTTAAATTTTTTTTTTTTAATTAAATCGTTTCTGTTTGCAGTTCAAATCCTAAATTTTAACAACAGGTAAAATGAACGCACCAGTTATGCCCTGGGGGCTCAGTGATAGAGAAGATGGACTTTAAATGTAAATAATAAGCTTCTTTGTTGATTTAAAGTTTCCAGTTTTTTCTAGATTGAAGAACAATGCTCGTTATTGACAACTGTATAAACAAAGTTCCCCTCCATCCCCCCAAAAAAAAAAATTAAATGCCTATTGTTTCTAATACTCATGAGATCAGTGTGTTTCATACCTTCCTACTAATAGTTTTGCTAAGAGTAAATTGAACATTTATGTTATCTTATTTTTATAGAATTTCGGTGTGTCCATCACTAGTGCAAAAAGGTGTTTTTTAAATTGAGATTATAGCTGCATAACTGAATATTTTTTCAATTTTAAAGTGTTAAATAAAAAAAGGAGACCCTAGATATTCTAATTGTCCAACGAAGTAGTTTATAACAATAATAATGATGGTGGGATAAGCCAAAAAAGACAAAAATTTCCTATGTCCATCACTGGTGAACTTACCCTTCTAGAATTATATTTAAATTTAATCTAAAGCAGCACTGGAATTAAATGTTTGTAGCATACCCAAGTGAAAACTCTCACGTTAAATAGCTCCATCTTTACCACGAATGTTAAATTAACAATTTACTTGATAAGTGAGTAACTTGTCTCATTGGAAAATATCCCTCCAGTTTAATAATCAAGCAATACGATACAGCCCTATCTGAACTTGAATTGATCCATTATTGTACGAGCTCAAGACCTATTTGTTTCGTATAAATCCTTGAATTTCTCGTTCTCTCGCTTAAAGTATAGAAGTTTAACACTGAGAGTATAGAGATCATACCTGGATATATTTTTATTTATTTATTAAATGTATCATTTTTTTCCCCCATATTATCCAAAGTCGCTGTTTCCCTACAACTACGTTTTCAATAGATCCTTAAACTTGTAACCTTTTAACCTTAAAATACAGTTCATCCCTTCTCGATTCGTTGGTTTTGGAACTTTATATGAGTTTAAATGGTTAGAGACAAAACCTCCTTTTTTTTTTTTAAATGGTTGTTGAAGGAATTTAAGGACAGGAATTGGGATTCGTCTCTTCTCCATGAAATACCCTTTCGTTTGCTACCTCATTCAACAAAATACTCGCTTCTGAGTGTCAGAAAAAAATATATAATATCTTACTATATACGGTGTAGATAGATAGTAGTTATTAACAGATGGTTGTAGACAGACAGACCACAATAGAACGGTCTCGCAGCCCGCTTCTATTCAAGACAAGAGAAACAAGGCTAACAAACTGTGATTAGGGGCGGAGCTGTGACCGGCGGGCAGGGACTGCGGTCAACTCGGTTCACCGCTACCCTATCCCTCACCATTAGCGATCTCCCGTCCTTCTCCTTTTCATTCCGTTAATTCTCTTTTCCCCTGTCTTCAGCGTTCCTCTTTATTAAAGTACCATTGTTATTGTCAACACTTTAATTTAAACATTCTGAAAATAGTTGGATGATAAATAGTCAGGCTTCAACCCAAACATGTTGGTTAAAACTTGTTTCTTGTTTGCTAGACAGTAACTATAGCACTGATAACAACCCACATGTTTTGGTCGAAATGTCGGTAAAATCTAAAAAAAATATACCTGACTGTAAATCCTCACTGTTTGGTATCCTCTTTAAACTTTTGAACAACGGTTAACGATTATATCGTCGTTTTATTGCAAAATGTCGTTACGTGGCATTCCGTAACCTTAACAAATCAGAAAAGTATGTGTTTGTTGTAACTATATTTGCTGTTTAAAAGGTTTTGTTTTATTTTCATCCCCTTGCGGTGTTTTGTATCGATAAAAAAAGTCGAAATTCATAAAAACGTTTTTGTTGTTAAGTCAACCTATATCAAAAATGTACTACGTGACTTTTTGCAGTAAACTGACTATATCCATCTCTGAAAAGATTTTAATGAATGTTTAGTAAAAATGCATTTATAAGAGAAATATTTAGTTAAAAGATATTTAGAAGAGGTATCTTATAACTATGTAATTTTAACTAAATTACTTATTATCATAGTTATATTGGCGACAAATACCATATACCATTTGAAGAGAAGAATGGTTGGCGTGATCAGTCAGAAATAAGAAGGCAAAAATAAATGATAATATTTATTTTGACATTTGCCGACGTTTCGACCTGAAGTTAAGGCCTTCATCAGGGCTGAGAAAAGAACCAGATAACAAGGTATGGAAAACATGAATAATGTAGTTAAAAAAATTGAAGTAAAATTTTAAGATTATGTTTACTTCATCTTTCCATACTTTGTAACGGTTATTATTATTTATCTCTTAGTTCTTACCATTGTCAATATTCTACCCACTTCATTTTACTTAAATTTTTTTACCTACGTTATTCATATTTCTCATACCTTCTTATCTGTTTTTTTTCTTAGCCCTGATGAAGGCCTGAACTTCAGGTCAAAACGTCGGTAAATATCAAAATATTATCATTTATTTTTGCCTTCTTATTTCTGACTGATCACCCCAACCAACCATTCTTCTCTTCATTATTCACGACAACCATTCACGACCCACAATCATATACCATTTGGGATAATTGAATTATCCGTTTTGTCATTGGACATCAAACAAAATTTGATTAAGAATTATATCCCAGGATGGGTAACGGCGACTGTACACTTAAATTATGATAATGAGGATTTTTTATATTATCGTTTGATGGAATTGGTTCCAATTTAAAAATTTATTAGCCAAGTTGTTTTCTACATTTCCTTGATTATAGGCAATGAATTAGCTTTGAAATATATAATGTTAAAAGATATACTTTTAAAACTTGTTTCACTTCAATGGCAGGACCAAATACTCTTCTATCTAAATACAGTAGCCGCATTGAGAACTCAGTTTGCTGTATTCCCCAAACGTTGCGTGAGGTGAAGCTGCAAGAAAGGAAAGCGGGTCCTGGGAACGCCCAGAGCAAACCGGCCGTATCAATAGGATACGGTATGTACCCGGTTCGTGACGGGAATATAGGGACATCGGGGAGGGGGGGGGGAAGAAGAGGAAATTCGCCCCACGTAAGCCCCTCTTGTTTGTTCTGGGCTCTGCCTCTATCCTGCAAAAGTGAGCATGAATAACAACCGGGTATTATACCGTCGAGGAGCTGCGGCAAAAACGACCGGAATTTATCAGGGAACGGTCCCCCGGGACTGTTTGTCGACTTTTTGCCCACACTAGGGGTTAATTCGCCCCCCCTCGACCCCTGTAAGTCATTAGCACCAGCCCCTTCCTAACTTCCAAATAAGATTAGCGCTAGGATTGCGTTAGGAGCGGCGACAAAGAGAGGATTATTATAAGCCGCCCGGGCTTTTATCCATCGCGTGCTTCCTCTAAATAGGATCTCGCCTCTTTTATAACTGACAATACATATACCTCTCCCTCCTCACTCAGGATAAAGCCTGTTTCTACCTCGAGCTCTTCATCCTACCTGAATCTGAAAGTTTAGTATTTTTTGTCAGATAGTAGGAATTATAATTTTAAAAATCCTAGAACAAACATATAAATCCAGAAAATTCAATAGAACATAATTTAAATTACGTTTGAAAGCGAAGCTCTAGATAAACTCAGATAATAAAATCTTCTATGCACACCTAGCAAACTATTATAACATTTAGCATTTTCCAGTCCGTTTAAAGAATGTTCTGGAAAAATAACAATATATTTTTCAATTTAACTTACTAATTATAAGTAACTATTTTTAAAGAATTAAGTATTTTTTTCAAATGGGTTACATTTTCAAGTCAACATAGTTTATGTAAAATTTGAAAGAAAAAAAAAACTAAACAAATACAATTTTTTTTTATTCTAAATTTATTAAAATTATCTTATTAAGCTGATAAAAAAACAATATAATTGCCCATCTTCTATATATATATAAGTCTTATATTCATTCATTCAGAATATGATGTATCTTTTATTTATAATGGTCACGATAACAATTATTTTTGAAAATTTTAAAGTAATAATTCGAACTAATCTTACCCTGTAACGTTTTTTTTTTTTTATGTTTTAAAATTAAAATTTTTATTACATAAAAATAATTTAAATGTTTTCTAATTTTAAAATTAAGTGTACTTCAAATTGTTATTACTTTCATTAGTACTTCAAATTAAAAAAAAAAATGATGGATTAAAAAAGTTGCACACAAAATAGACTGAAAAGTGATGGTTTTATACTTCTATGTTATAAAACAACAAAATACCTGAAAATAATCCCAAATTTACAATTATAATCCTTTATTTTATCGTTAAAGCAATATTTGTTTTGTCTTTTTTCACTATTGGATTATTTTAAGTTGAATATGGGAAATGAATTTTTAAAAACGTAAAAAAAAAAATTGTGTGTATTTTTTTTTAGTTTGTTGGTGAATATTTAAATATACCAACTTTGCGTGATTATATGCTTTGGCTTAGGTTACCCTGTAAAATATTTTGAATGCAAATATTTGTAATTTGTAGTATTTATTTTTTATACTGTATTTATTTTATATATAATTATATTATAATTATTATTTTCAGAGGAACTCTATATCACCGGCTGAGAGGGAAAAATATAGGCCTAGGAGTCCTCCTGAGCCCGAACACAAAAAAGTTAAAAAAGAAGAGAAAGACTGCCACGTGAGTTTTAGTACCATGATATTTGGTAGTGCGCATGCGCTTATACCTTACATCTGCTAGACTTGCAAATTTTGCATAGTTAGGCGCAAAATAAATATTTATTTGTTTTTTCAGTGGTTCATTTTTCTTTTCTTTTGTTTATTCTATCCTTCATTTATTTTTTTTTTTTTCGGTGCCTTATCTGATGTTTCATTTATCTTTAAATTTATGTATCGATAATTTATAGTTTTTCGAAACAAATCAAAACTTAGTTTATATTTGACATGAAAAAAAAATTATTATATTTAAATATACATATTAGTCTGTACACACAGTGTAATACATTGCACAAATTGTAAACATAAAATTATAAATTCAAATTTTAAAATTATTTTTAATTAAAAATTAAAAACAATGTGTGAAAGTATTATTCCTAGTATTGCCATAGAATATTAATTTAAAGTAAATGTATATATTTTTTTTTAAATATGGGAGATTTTTCATTATTGTTAGGAATTATTAACATAAAACTGGACGTTTTAGGCTTGTCGCACTTTAATTGCTCTGTGGTACATTAATTTGTTTCTCTGCATGGTACCATATTGCTTGTTTGTTTCTCACATTGACACAAAAGTTTTGTACAGATTTTTTTTAACCTGATTTCTCGATTGTATCATTTACCCATAGTGCTTGAGTTGTCTATGCTCTCCATAGATCCCATACACATAGAAATAAGTCGTTTCAACATGGAGAAAAATATCAATTTTTGTTTTTAAAAAAAAGCCTAAGTATAGTTTACTTTTGAAAAAATTCGAAATCATTACGAAAGCGTAAGAATAAAGTGATTTATAGTACTTATTTATCTAGTTATGCCATGTTGCGAAATTGTGAAATTTCTAGTGCTCTAATGAAATACGGCCAATGCGAAGAGTCAAGTCGTTAAACCAAGTGTGTTGCGTTGAGTTATCTAGCAAAACGGGCCCCCATAATGCGAGTTCATTTTAAAAATGGGGGCCAGGGATTTAGGGGGTAGTGGAAACCTGACATATAGCCCCCTTAAACCACTCTAATCGGGATAAAAGGTTTAAGGGCTGTCTATACTCCCTTGGGAAAGGAGGTCTTTTATTTAATCAGATTTCTTTCCTTCGCTTGAATAAAATATCTTTTTTATATTTATCCCAGTTTATTTATTTGTTATGAAAAACCGAGAGTTGTTGGAAAACTAGTATTTAATGGAGTTGCTAAAAGTTTTATAAAATAACATCTTCATCCATCTCAAAAAAGAATTTATTTTACTTGTCATTCTAATATCAATTAAGTAAAATCAACTTATGTTAAGTTAAACAAAGTAATTAATTATGTTTAGGAAGGAATGAAATTTTAATATTATCTATTTTAAAACTGTTAGGCGCCTCATTATATAATACCAAAAACAAACCTTACGAAACTTTAATAATACAAACTATACTTACTAGATTTTTTTAATAAAATTTTTATAACGTTTTTGAAAAAAAAAAAAAAAACTGGACTGACTTGTGAGAATCGAAATTAAAGGAATCTCGTGATATACCTTGCTTCCTTTTTTTAGTTAAAGTTTTGATAATTTACGTCTATATAATATTGTATATCTGATTTGCATAATATGTTATTTTAGTTATGGTTCGTTTTGTTGTTTTTATCCTTGACGAATGCATCATCATGACATCCGCCGTTTAACCTGATACTAAACTCTCTGATTTAATTAGTTTAGTACTCATAAATACAATAACTTTGCATTAAATCAGCTACATAATTAATGTAACCTTTTCACAATTTGAATTTAAATAAATTTAATTTATAATATAAATTAAAAAATGTAGCCTTGCTATTTCTTCACAAGGGAAAGGAGCAAACGTCATTAAGGCAAACTTTTTTTCCCAGTTCTCCGAAGCCCATTTCACAAATCGTGTAACGGAAGTGTTTTTTTCTTTTTTTTTTTTGCGCCCCCTCTCCTCTTCTGGGTAGAATTCTAATTAACAGCGAGTACCTTGGTGGACATGCCCAGCTTGACTAATAAGTATCATTAACCGACTGTTTTATTTCTTGAGAATCTTGTCAACGGTCTAGGGAGGCGCCGTGAATACTGATTTCCCTCGGATGTATATGTAGAATAAAAGATCAGAAGAAGAATTCTTGATTTGTTTCTATTGATGTCATCCATCCATTGTCACAAACGAGGCTTATTTTCTATTGCTGTTTAATTAATCTTCTTTCAGAAGCGGAATTTTATGCATGTATATATATATATATATATATATATATATATATATATATATATATATATATATATATATATATATATTCTTGAAAAGATCAGAAATTTTCTTTTTTCGTAGAAAATTAAGTGAATGGAGATAAAACAATCCGACAGTTGTATATGTTTCGTAACGATTATTTTATTTATTTTTTATTATTTATATATCATTGTTAGGGTTGAAAATTATAGATTACCTTTTAAAACTATAAAATTAAGCCTTTTTTTTATTAAAAAAATACCTGGTTTATATTTTATTTTACATATACTAAACGGAACGGTCCGTAACGAAGACGCCATATTTTTTATTCCTAAAATTATTTCTCCCTTATTTAAATTGAGCCAGAAATAATTAATAATTATTATTTATAATTATAAATATTATTATTTATAATAATATGGGACCATAGATAATCTATTCAATAGTTATCTATTTAAAAAAGTTAAATGTACATTGGTATATAAATTACTTGCTGACACGTCCAGAAGATTCAGCGCATCCGTGGCGACATGTTTTTTTTTCTAGTCAAGAAATTAATTCTATTTTAAAGTTTATGATGTTTTAAAAAATGTTATTATGAATTGTTGGAATCACCAGTACCTATGAAGCATCCCAGTTTTTTGCATTTTACTGTGATCTCTCAATTTGCTCAATGAACTTTTAAGTATGTATGTTTAATTTGTTTATTTATCACAATCGCCTTTAATTTCAATCATTAAATATGAAGCTAATTTTTGTTTTGTATATCGTTATAGTTTGAAAATAGAATTTGAGATATTATATAAGACGAGGGATAAAAAGAAGTGGTGAGATGAGGTTCTTTTCTATTTCATTCCTTTTTATTTTTTACTCAAGCCGCACTAATTGCGTTTCATTTTTATGATTATTCTTATCTTCCTCTCTTTACGAGGCTCGGCGTGGATTTTACTGTGAGCAGTAAAAGTTTATGTCTACTTATAATAGTCCTTAAACCCGCCCTCTTCCCAGATGTCTCGTATTCTTCTTATTTAATACTATCGATAAACTGCCAAGGAAATATCGGAGAGTCCCATTTATCTATTTATTTATTTTTTTATTATAAACAGTTTCATTACCTGTCGATAATGAGATGCTCGCTTATCACTCATCATTTATTACCAATAATATCTGGGTATAATTTAATTGCCTCACTAATGGCCGTTCGCCTATATAACAGATAGATAGGAAGATATAATCGTATGGAAAAGAATATTGCTTTTATTTTATTTCATTTTTTACTTACATAGCAGTTCTTTTTTTAAAACAGGGCCATCAGTCTATAATAATAAAATATTAACTTGCAAGTGAGAAATAACGTCTTTATCATTGAGATATTATTTCCGCGCGTTATTGTTGTTTATTATTATGTATTTTTAAATGTCATTTTTCAATTTTCGTTAACGAATTATTTGGAACAATAAAAAAATTATTTCAATATTTTATTTAGATTATAATTATATGTTAACTTCTTCGTTGAAATCAATAAATCTGAATTGCTTGTTTAAATCTACAGTTTTTTCCATTTTCTTATACTGTTGAATGATCCTTCTCAAGAGATGATAAATTATTCAAAAACTTCTTCTTTTTTTTCCTGTTATGTTTAAAAAATGCGTTGTCACTTCCCTTCCCGAAATCCGTAGAATCTGTTTTATTTTAAATGGCTTTTCAGTTGATGGAGGAACGGTAGCAGATAAATATCCTACAACCCTCGTTCCAGAATGTTTTAGCCCGTGAAGAAAAAAGAAAAAAAAAGTGGCAGCCTGTAGCCGGGTCGATAAACGAGTAGACCCCCTCCCCCCACATCCGGTCTTCCGCCCCAGAGGTCGCAAGCTAAATGAATTGTAAAATCGGGAACTGCTCTCCTTCAGTCGGCGAAATGGCCCGCGGGCCGATGGAGCGGAACCGTATTACACATCTAGGCTCTGCCAGTTGGCGAAGAACATTCTTCTCTTCTACTTTAGGAGGAAGGGGAGGAAGGAGTTCGTGACCGGTCTATAGCTCTGCCGATAAAGGGAGCAGCCAATGCGCTGCTAATGAAGGATATTTAAATGAGAAGGTTATGCGATAGCTATCTTGTCCTCCTGGTGGCTCTTAATGCATTTCTGTTCTTGTGGGGACCTATCATGGCCTCTTATTTCTCTCCAGTCCTTTTATTAGTAATATATTAATTAGTCAATAGAAAGGAAGCCTACCGGACATGTTCTGATGAAATGCAAGAAGCACCAACATTTGTATGTTGGTCTTCTGGTAGAAACATTACAGTAAATGCAACCACGGATAGGTTCCTTTTTTTAAAAGGTAAAGAAAACCATTATCCCAACCACCTATCTCTCTGCTTATATCTGTCGAACCAAAAACCAAAAGAAAAATGAAACTTTTTGACTCATAGAAATGGTTTATGAGACAAGGCCATATGTTATAAACGTTATAGATACTCTTACTAAATACAAAAACAAAATAATATACTGTACACCATTTTGCATTGATTAGAAATAGTTGAAATTGTGTACTCTTGTGCATAATATGTAAATGTTACTTGACCCATGTGTGTACGTAAATTGTGTATCCAATTATTAATACATGAAATACTGACTTTTCTCATAAACTTCCTAATATTATATTTCAAAAGAATATATTAATTGAAGCACCAAGATAGATAGTAAATTGATTATAAGTCTAATTTACTTTTAACAAGGAATATTTCAAACCCTTTTTATTAAAATTACTTAATTATATTTTAATTTATACAAACATCTGGCAATGTTTCTGGCTATATTTTTAAGTAAAAAACAGATCTGTATCTTATTATCAAATATAAATCTTTTATCAACATATTCACAATTAAAGAAAAATATTCAACTATCACTATAAACAAATTTAAAACTTATCAACTAACATAATTGTGTTGCAATTACAACAAAAAAAAAGTTTCGTAATTTGGGTTTTATAACTCCAAAAAATCATAAATAAGAATTGCACAAGAAAAATATATTTTATTAAAAAATAAATATAATTTGTTTATTTTTATATTTTTTTGACTGAGCACCCCAACTAATCTTCTCTTAAAAAATTATTATATATAATTATTTCCGTAATTACCTTATGGTCACCCATAAATTGAAATTCAATTCAATTAATACATTTTATCATTTTATTTTCAGAAATAATTGAAATCGCTTACCCCTATCTCCAATTTTAACGTTCGGAATGTATACTAAACTGTTTATCCAATGTGGGAATGAACCAACATAATAAAAGAGTTGACAAAAATATGTAATTATTAGTTGTAAATTATATTCATGTCAAATTACGTACGTGAGCTCAACTAACACCTGCTTCGATACATTTTAATTAATGCTAATCAATTCATTCCCCCATTAGCCTAAATAGGCCAAACAGTTGTCTTCAGTGAATTAAACATTCATTAGATTTCCTTCAAATGTTGCCCAACTGAATTCCTTATGATATTGTAAGTTTTATATTAAAAGTTCATTGAAGTAAAATATTTTCTTTAAATCAAATAAAACTAATTTACACGAGCTATTCATTGTTATCTTTGGACAAAAATTGTACGAAGCAGATGTGAGCTGTTATTTCATCCTTCTTGCTTCGATTCTTTTATGCATAAGCAAATCAAATAATCTTTGTTAGATAATTAAAACAATTTTAAGCATGTGATTGTTTATTCAAACTTTTTGAATCATACAGTCCATTTATTCAGTGCATAGTTAACCACAAAATCATTCTGAGATAGACCGTGTAAAACCTATTGTATGAAAATTAATACTTCTTCAGTAACTTCTAGATAGACAGAATCTGATTATTTTTTCCCAAGACTATTTTATAGTCTGCACAGAGAGGAGACAGACAAATTTGGATTATTCAATAAAATTTATTTATATTCATTCGTATATTAGTTTTTGTTATTGACAAAAATGAAGATTAAAAAAGTTATATACTTATGGATATGTTGTTTAGAATATTTTTATTTTGCTGAAGCTGACTGATATCTGACAAATATATTGAATAAAACTCCTTTTCTCTGAAACAGTTATTATTTGTGCAAGTTTGAAGTAATTGCTTTAATTTTTTTATTGAAGCTGGAAGATATAGTTCAATATGTATTTTTGGTTTCAGTTATTAATATTTTATTAACAATTAATATCAATTATATTATTAAAACACATATAAAATAGTTTTTGAAAACAATTCGTGCACCATTATTGCATGTTATTTTTATAATTTACGAGCCACTAATAATTCTGATGTTTCTTTTTCTCTTCTTTTTTTTTTTTTTAACGTTCGGGATTATTCAAAATAATATGCTATGTTATTAATAAAATATAAATTAAAATACCAAGATAAGGCACATATTTTGTTTTCTTTCTCTCTTTTTTTTTTTCGAACGAAAAAAGTTTGATGAACCCTTTTAATTTTTATTTTATTTATTTAATTTATTTTTTTTTCTGAGGAACTACATGTCCTTTCTTCTTCTAATCGGCTTATGTACGTTTACAGGCTAGTGACGGGGAAAAAAGTGACCAAGACTTAGTTGTAGACGATGCCAGCGAGGTAAGCACAAATTTTTACACAAAAATAAAAACAAAAAAAAAAAAAAAAATCAATGAGTAACCCAATTTCTAACAAGTCCAATAAAAGAAAAAAAAAAAAACTTGAATTAACTCCTAACCTAACACTCCGATAAATAATACCTCAATAACCTCTAGGGTGAAAGCTGTGCATGAACGATTAACATTAGTTGAAGTATGAAAATATAATAACAAAGCCGTTACAGTTGCGGCATTGAACGTGTGTATTGATTTATTGTTATAAATAGGAAATGCAGACAAGTATAAGTTTACCTGGTTCATTTACCTGGTCACTTTTTTCGCCATTTTTCTGAATGGTATGTGAAAACTTGCTCGATATTATAATTGCAAGTGGCTCTTCGATGTTGTAATTTGTGCTATTTCCTGTACATGCATAAATGTGTATGCATGTCATTTAAAATTTTTTTGTTGTTGTCACTGCATGAAAAATTAAGGCATTGAATGTAACAGCCATCAAAATAATTGGTTAAACATGACTTGTTGAATTTCCTACGTTTAAATTTGTATTTTATTTTTTAATTGTTGGTTTAAATAAAGAAAACAAATTTTTATTTTGTTATGTTTTAGTGCATTATTTAAAAAAAAAAAAAAAAAACCTCTAAAGCTTTTAAAATATTTCCATATAAATATTCTTCAATTTTTTTTTTTTTCAGGAACCCGTTTCCCCCCCGAATGGAACAACTTCACCAAGAGAAAATGGACTGGATAAACTTGCACCTAAAAAAGAGCACGTTGGCCCTCATAGGTAACATCATCGTAGTTTTGTTTTTAGTATAATAAAAATAACTGCATTTAGTTAAGGTGTATATCTTGTACAATTACAGTTGAACCTCTGTATCCGAATTCTTGCATATTTAATTTATTTATCTAATTTTTTTTTTTTTTTTGATCAAAAAATCATAAAATTTCTTTCGTTTAAAAATTCATTCTAAATATTAAATATATTTGTTGTTGGTGCACTTCTTGATTAAAAATATGTATATAGGTTCCTATCTGCTTATTTATTTTTATAGTTATATTACACTAAAGTAAACTATAGAAGGAAGTTAGTCAAATGCTCAACATATCATGGGTGATAAATATTCAGGACGCAGTCATTATAAAGTTTTTATTGGTGCTGACGTTTCAACCCAAACATGTGGGTCATCATCAGGGCGTGTTTCGAGCACTGAAGTTATTACAAGTACCTCCGTACACCCCACATGTTTGGTTTGAAACGTCGGCACCAATAAAAACTTTATAATGACCGCGTCCTGAATGAATATTTATCACCCATAAAGTAAACTATAGTTATTATGACTATATAAATATTTCCATTTACATTTTACTTAAAATTAACCAGTGCTGAAATCATTACTATTAAAAAAAATTAAGTATGAAAAATAATTTAAATAAGCTATGCTTGAAGTTAATATTTCAATTTTTAATATATTGACTTACTATATATAATCAAGAACAATTGTAGTTATTTTTTTCAAGCACTATTTCAATTAGTTTCAGAGATATTTTAAAGTAATTACTAAAAATTAAAAAATAGAATTAGCTATCCTTTAGTTGATTTGTAGTTAATGACCAGAACTAGTGTAGTAGAAATGATCACATTGAGCATATTTTTGGTCAAAACGGATATAAAAGTAGATTTTGATTTGCTAAGAACACATAAATAAAGATTTGTTAAAATCACTATATTATAATTTCTTTCAGTATCATTTTTCTCATTTAAATTAAATATTTCCTATCGTATCCAATCCTTACAATCCAAAATCCTCCGTAAAATCCTTAATGCTCCATAATTTTTCACAAATAAAACCATTCATAAAGACCTTAATGTATCTGGCCTGAGCCAGATATCTATCCTTTCATGATAAACTTCAGTCCCATCCAAATCTGCTTGTTTCCACGCTTGCTTCTTCCTCGATCCCTGATAATCCTCCTAGGCGTCTGAAAAGGAGATGGCCTCGTGATCTTCTTACTTAAAATTATTTAGGGAGTGCTACCACTGGGTAGTATCTCTTCAAGCCTGTACATGCCATTATTTATAATTTGCGCATATTTACTAGTTGTATTTGTATACAGTTGTAAATTTCATTAAATAAACAAAAAAAAAAATTAAATATGGCGAACATGTATTTTTTTATTTGTGAATAATCAATATTTGTATAAATTGTATGTGCAGTCCAAGGAGTGGCACGTCATCAAATGCAAGTACCCCATCGACGAAAAAGATGGAAGAGAAACCAACAACTCCCATTTCCAAATCTGTCACGCCAACAAGTGGAGGAAGCAGTGGGAGCGTTGCTGGATCTGGAGCTATTAAGCCATCTTTAGTGAAACCGCCTTCACTTTGTAAGTATATTCATATATGCTATGATGATTTCAGATGTCTTTATTCTATAACCTAAGTACATAAATATCAGTTTTTGGTTGATCAACATCAATTGATCAACAATTGAACATTGTTTTAAAATGGAGAAGACCGACACAAAATTGGTGTATGGCAATTATAATGTGAAATTACTATTTAAAAAAAGCTTCTCTGAGAAGTAAAAATATTTAACTTAAATACAATTTTTTTTTCTTCATGACACAAAATTTAACCTGGCATTATGTAAGTCAATGGTTTTCTCCAAAGGCCTCCAATTCAGTTAATCATGAAATTTTCCTAACCAAACTTTGTATGGAAAACCCTTTTTGGAATTTATTACCTACCTACATAGGCAAAACCTCTTCCTTAACTCATTTAAGCACCAATTGTTTTTCCATCTCCTCAGTTATCAATGTTCCGAATATATGTAAGAATAAAATATTCGTATTTTAATGTTGCCAATCTTATTCTATGGTTATTATATATATTGCTTTCCTGTGCAAGTATGTAAGCACACCGAAATATACCTATAATTTCGTATGTTTACTTTATTTATTACAGAAGTTTATATTTATTTCAATGTTTCATAACTTTGTAATCTAAATATAATTGCTATTGTCCATTTTTGTTATTCTTAGGAGACTAAATGTACTTCACACTAAATTTAATTCTCAAAAAAAAAAGAAAAAAAAAAAACAGTCAATTTCACAGATGTTGTGAGCACCAGTTCAACTAAAAATACTGTGGAATTCTTCATATTTATATCTGCACAAACGTTTTAAGCACTAGCGGATCCAGGATTTAATTTTGGGGGGCTTCAGCCCGAAACCTTCTTTTTTCATAAAAATAACGATAATTACTTTGGAAAAACAGAAAGAAACTAACTACCTATATGAAATGGTGTTTAAGTGATTCCTTAAGTACTTTTAAATGTAATTACACGAACAATAATACTTTAAGAGGTATTTTTAAAATTTTTTTTCCATAAAACATGGTTGTATTTTTCCATTTTGGGGGGGGGCTTCAGCTCAAAAGCCCCTCCTCCCCTTAGATCCGCCCGTGGTTTTAAGCAAACATCAAATATATTCCAATATATTTATAAACCAACTGTAAAAAAATTAAAGAGAATTAATTAATTAGGTATTGCAGAATATAATCAAATCTTACCTCGAACTATATTATTTGCTCCTACAACATTTGTGATGTTGGCAATTGATGTTATCAGTCGTAAGCCAATTTTTCTCACAGAGTTTTTCGTAATTTTAATGCATCTTGATGTAAAGTACATTGTTTTTAATTTTATTTCATTTTTTTTTTTTTTAATAAGCTATTTCCATGATACTATTGAAAAAAACTTTAAACAGATAATGTTGCAGCACAATACCCGCACTACCTAGCTGGTGCAGGTCCTCACGATCTACAAGCAGGTTACGGTGCCTTACATAATAATCTCCCTCCAGCGCTGAACAGTTACCCAAGGCCTCCAATGGTATGCCAATAATTATATCACTAAGTATTTTGTTTGGTTTATACATTTATTTAAACTAATGATTGTTTCTCATTTTAAAGGTTGGCTACGATCCTCATTCACAGATGAGGGCATCCTTAGGTCCTAGCTTAGGTGCCATTCCAGGCGGGAAACCGTAAGTTCAATTTTTTCAAACATAAATGTCATAATATTGTATATAATTTATTTAAATCCTTTAAATGTTACATGCCTTAAACTTATAATAATTTGTTGGGTGCTTTTCAGAGCCTATTCATTCCATGTTACTGCAGAGGGGCAAATGCAGCCAGTTCCATTCCCACCCGATGCTCTTATAGGCCCTGGGATCCCAAGACATGCTCGACAGATTAATACCCTGAGTCATGGAGAGGTGGTCTGTGCAGTAACTATTTCAAATCCTACTAAATACGTCTATACAGGCGGTAAAGGGTGCGTCAAGGTTTGGGATATTAGCCAGCCTGGATCAAAGAGCCCTGTTTCACAACTGGATTGCCTGGTAAGTTCGTGTATATCAATTAGCCAAGTACTAAATTTTATATTATTAATTTAACTTTGAAAATATTATGTATTCATTTGTTTTTAGCAAAGGGATAATTATATAAGGTCAGTGAAACTGCTTCCTGATGGAAGGACGTTGATAGTAGGCGGAGAAGCAAGTAACTTGTCTATCTGGGATTTGGCGTCTCCTACTCCAAGGATAAAGGCTGAATTAACATCCAGTGCACCTGCATGTTATGCACTAGCCATTAGTCCTGACAGCAAGGTGAATATTAAAATTATATTTACCAATTAAATTAATGGATAATCCTTTTAAAATTTAGTGTATCTTTAAATCACTCCTATTCTTTCCATTCTACTTACATTGGATTGTGGACCTGTTGATAGCTTGCCCCTCCCATCCTATAAGGCTTCATATCGAAATATCCAAACATTAATTAATTAAATTTTATTAAAAGAACGTTAAAAAATCCTATACTCTTAAAAAAAGCAATATACGTCTTTTAGCAAAATGGATATCGTAATTCTGTAGAAGGTTTTTGCTTAAGAATTTATAATAATGTTTTTGGACTCAGAAGTCAATACGTATAATTGTTTACTTCCACTACTTTACTGCAAAACGGTATGTTGTTAATAAAAAAAAAAACATTAATTAATTAATATAATCTTCCCATTCAACCAATGTAGGATATTAAATATATATATATATATATATATATATATATATATATATATATATATATATTCTGATAAATATTGTTCTTATTTTTGGCAGGTTGATATGTATATAACTAAATTTGAAAATAAACTTATTAATAACAACATTTTTTAAATGTAATAAAAAAGCTGTATTAACGAATAATCACTTTTTTTATCTTAAAACCTTATGATTAATAGATATTATTTTGATGTAAAAATAATTATTCAATATGCAGCTTTAAGCACTAGAAACTATATAAAGAAAATACTAATCTATATAATAAAAAGCTAACAAGGATAGATTGATGTCCATAATCGTGTTCTTAGTAACTTTGTACGCATAGAAAAAAGTTCACAACAAAAATTAGATATGAGACAAGACTGAGGTCATAAATACAATGTTTAAAGTTGCATAGACATTTAGCGTCTATAGTTTAAAAAAAACACTTAAACCTTTAGAATAAAAATTTATGAGTCCTATAAATTTATTGGTGAATTATTTTATTCTCTAAAAATATAATAGAAAAACTTTTTTTATGGAAATAATCCAGTCAGCCATTGTAAGTGGAAAACATGAATTAAACATGAGTCATTAATTAAAATATTGTATTAAAAATGAAGAGACTATGAAATGAACCTAGGAGCCGAGGAATTGTTCTGTCAGATCTGTTTGAAAAACAGCTGGGGTGGGATTCTCAACTAAGACCTGAACAATGTCATATTACATTTTCATCATATTTATGTTTTATTCTAGAGGTGCTTTTTCGTTGACTGTTTTTTTTATTATCTAGAATGGTGTATAGTTAGGATTTTAGTCAAAAATATTTTATTTAGATTGCCAACGTTTCGACCCAAACATGTGGACCGTCATCAGGGCTAAAAATTATATCCAAAATATAAGGTACAGATAAAAGTACATAAATAAGTCAAGAGATAAAGATAAATAGTTCTCATAAATTGAATAAATTAATTGTACAAAAATATATATATAAATAAGAAGTATGCATAAAGCAAGTAGGGCTAAGAATAAATTAGGTGAAATTTTTAAATAAAAAAAAAATGAATTGGAAAAACAATAGACCAAAATTATTAATTAAATTATTATTAAAGTGAGATTTAGTAACTAAAAATAATATGATTGGATAAGTACGTAGATAAACATTATTAGCTAATAAAAATAATTTATATAAGTTGTAGCTTAACAACTATCCACATTTAAAATTGTGGGTTAATGGTTGACTGTCGTGAATAATGAAGAAAAGAATAGTTGGGGTGATCAGTCAGAAACAAGAAGGCAAAAATAAATAATAATATTTATTTTAACATTTGCCGACGTTGCAACCTGAAGTTCAGGCCTTCCTAAAGTCACTCTATACCAGTTAGCTCTTGAAAAAGCCCTGATGAAGGCCTTAACTTCAGGTCGAAACATCGGCAAATGTTAAAATAAATATTATTATTTATTTTTGCCTTCTTATTTCTGACTGATCATCCCAACCATCCTTCTCTTCATTATCCACATTTATGATGATGGCCCGTATGCTTGGGACAAAACTACCAATTGAATAAATATTATTTTGACTGAAAATGCTGACTGTATGACATAACTTTTTTTTTTACCCAAATTTACTAATTAGATAAGGAACTAATTAAATAGAAACGCTCTTTGAGCATGGCTCAGTCCCAGGCCACTATAGGTTTACTTAAAGTACATGTACGTCATACTTCCAAAAAATATGTATTTTCTAATCTAAACCGATTATTTTTAGCAATTTGTACCTAAGAATATTTTCAGATTAGTACAATGAGTTTATTTATTAAATTTTTGTTACAGGTATGTTTTAGTTGTTGTTCAGACGGCAATATAGCTGTTTGGGATTTACACAACCAAACTCTGGTTAGACAATTCCAAGGGCACACAGATGGTGCTTCATGTATTGATATCTCAGCCGATGGTACAAAATTATGGACTGGAGGTCTCGATAATACAGTTAGATCTTGGGATCTTAGGGAAGGAAGGCAATTGCAACAACACGACTTTTCATCTCAAGTAATTATCATCCAACATTTATATTTAATTCATATATCAGCTTATGATAGCTCTTATTGCTAATATATAAATTATTTTTGTCACTATAGATCTTCTCGTTGGGATATTGTCCAACTGGGGAATGGTTAGCCGTTGGAATGGAAAACTCTAATGTTGAAGTCCTTCATGCAATGAAGCCAGACAAATATCAGCTACACCTCCACGAATCATGTGTTCTTTCTTTGAGGTTTGCTGCTTGTGGAAAGTGGTTTGTTTCAACTGGCAAAGACAACCTTCTCAATGCTTGGAGGACACCATATGGAGCTTCCATATTCCAGGTAAATAAACATCTTTTTGTTTTTAGAATTTTAAATATCTTGTGTAGGGAGGGGAGTAGCTCAGTGGGTGAGCACTAACTTCCAGAGCTCAAGGTTCGAATCCGGCTGATGACTAGTAATTTTTCATGGGTCGACTCTGGGGCCCAGGAGACTCTTTTGGACCAAACCCAACCTCTATAAAGTGGGTACTCTTTAATTAAATAATTAATTAAGGTGGAAAACCTAGCGGTTGATTGTGATATTTGCACGTCACCTTTCTGCACAACCGTGGGCCTTATAACAGTACTTCCTCACATTGTACTGAACCAATAACTCTTCTTGGGTTGTTACAGGTGGTACAGGTTTATATCTTGTATAGTTTTAAATTGAGTTAAACATATTATATTTTCATTTTTCTTTATCAGTTCTGTATTGATCAATATTGTTCATTTGTATTTTTTTTTTTTCCAGAGTAAAGAGTCTTCGTCAGTATTGAGCTGTGATATATCAGCTGATGACAAGTATATTGTTACGGGTTCAGGCGATAAGAAAGCGACTGTCTATGAGGTAATTTACTGACCTCGCTCTAAATCGAAGAAATGATCGAGGCCGATGAGCAGCGGGAGCGCCAGCAGTAGCTAGCAGCTTTCTGAATCTCGAGGGTTCGCACTCTCACACTTTGTGATCGTATTATCTCATTCTCACTCAAATGAGAAAGTGATGTGTTCAGCGTTTGTACAGATTTAAAAAAAAAAATAAAGACTTCTATAAATTGTATATCATCTGAGAAGGATTAAAAAAGTGCCGCACGGGAAATTTTATATTTTTGTTTTGAACTTTTTATTTTATTTTTGTTTATATGAATAAGTTCACATCGCGTGAACCGATATTTTCCCGGGCAACAATAAAAAAAAGACTTTTTTTTTCTTTTTTTAGAGAGAGAAAAATAAAAAAAATTTAAGTGTCTACTTAATATAAATGATGTATAAATAGGCATTATATAGATTTTTGGCAATATTTCTCATGTGTTAGAGTTTATTGTTATATATAAGCACTAAGAATTTGTTTATTAGCTTTGTACATATTTATAGTTTTTATTTGATTATTATAAACTAGAAGGTGCTTAAGATACATTCTATGATGACATAAATTTTATTTATGCATGCCCATAGTATCTCCATTTTCTTTTAATTTCCTTTTTTATTAATAAGGCATGCATAAATAAACTTTAATGTTATGACAGAACAGATTTTAATTTAAAAGTGTTCTATTTTGTTGTTGTTAACGAAGCTTGTTCTACAGGCTTGTCGAGATATCTTTTTATGGATCTGCATCGTCTAGAGTTACAGAATTATCAAAATGTACAATTGAAACTTTCGATACTATATTGTTTCAAGATCCCACTTGTCCTTTTTTAATTTTATTTCTATAAATATTGTTTACGGTCGAGAGCTTAATATTTGTAAGAAAACTATCACAATGCGTGAAAGTCAGCGAAAAATTTTATGTAATTTTATTGTACAAAACGTTGTTTTATTTACATGATTCTGTACTTTAAAGATTTTATAATTGTATATGAATCCAGCTCATGGCATTATGTTTTATATAAATGAAAATTTCTTTATTTATTTTATTAAAATAAAATGTTTAATAATTTCATTATAATTTATATTACTTTAAACTACAGAATCAAAACTCCATATTCATTAAAGTAATGAGCATTTACTCCAAAGATTGGTATATTTCATATAGCATAATAAAAGTGCTTAAAGCCCTGAAATTAAAAGTTTGAAACGGTTTGTTAAGACTGTAACTATGATCACGAAAGCAGATTGCTAATATTAAGAGTATAAATGTCAACGTGATGCCGATAAAGTTATATTTTTGTGAAATATTTACAATAATAATAAAACTACAGTCAGAAATCAGGGATTTTTTTACAGGCGCTACATATTGTCTCTATTTTGTATTCTATGGTCATTATTTCAATGTTTTTTTATAAATGTCTTACCACTGACATCATTATTATATTAGTATTTAATTCTCATATTGTCCTGTTATTTGTTGATAGAGTTTTCTTCAAACTTTTACATTAAAGAGCAGTATCTTTAATTGTATTTATTTACCTCTTTTTCAATCCTTTTCCTCAGTTATTGTAATTCATATTAAACAGCAGATGGATAATCTCCTGTTAACAAACTAATTATTATTAACTCATAGTTAAAGGTAAAACCAAACCAATGTTGTTAATGAAGCAACATATATTATTCCAGATATAGTAGCTTAAAAGAATTTTAGTTTTTAAGATGTATAATAAAAGCTCTGTGGTTACTCCAATAGACTCATTGAAGACATGGCCAATTAAAACTGCCCTATAATATCCATAAAAGACTGAAAAGGAGTTGGATGAGAGATTTCCCAGAATAACAACTAACATGCCGAAGATTAGCCACTGGGGGCAATTCTCTTATTCATGCCTATCACGCCCTTTCTTATATACTCTCTTTATTTGCTTATTGTAAACACATTCATTGGTTATCAGTGAACACTGACAGTTGTAAATTAAAAAAATAAAGAGAAAACAAGATTATAATGAATTTTTTTCAGACTGGTTATTAATAGACATTTTGTTTCCTGAGAAAAACAATAGCATGGCATGATGTACATTTATCAGGCTCCTAAATGTACCAAAAGCTTCTTTTGAATTCTAAATAAACCTAATATAAATTGTCAGTTAACGATTTTTGCTGTATAAATAAACGTTATTTACGTATTAATTACATAGATATAGCTAATTGATAAATAGAATATTAAATGATTATAAAAAAAAATACTTAACCATTTTAAAATCAAATAAGGTAAGTATGTACTATGTTTTTTGTACAAAGATTTCGAGGATCAGGCATCCTCTTAATTGAGGCTGGGTATACTTCGGTAAATCAGACTGCAAACCAAAGAAAAAAAAATTTCTATTCCAGCTGGGCTTTAAGCTATTAGGCCCTATTCATAAGTGAATAAAATAAAGTTACAACCAAGTTTCTTAACAGCTTTTGAATACCTAGGGGCTCTGAATTCTTAATTATAATGTTCCTGGAGGATATGATTGTCAGTAATTTGTGCCAACGTCCTTGTTTATTTATTTTTTACTGTTGTCAGGAATAAAAGTTTTTAAGCTGAGTGAATCTATTCATTATATGTGTTTAAACACAGTTCCCAACCTGATACAATTATGAAGTAAACAAGAGAAAATTGAGTAGTTATGTATATTTTGTATGCAAATGCATATTTTTTTCAAAAATATGAGTGGATACCATTATGAAACAGGTAGTTCTAAATCTTTTGTTTAACATTTATGTTGCATATTTTGCCAAAATTTTATTTTTGTGCATATTTAGGCTCAAAAGGAATATATAAACCATATTTCGATTAGTTGAATTTATTAACCATTTATTAAAAGAAAATGGTTTAACTAATAAGATTACATGTTGATTTTTATTTAAATTAATATTTGGCAAGATATTATATTTTCAGATTTTATGAACTGTTCTTCAAATAATAAAATCATATTTCATATGAATAAAATCATATATTCTAAGTAAAGTAAAAGTAATTAGTTGAATGGAAAGTTAATACGTAAGTACTTCACGGGAAAAAACTAAAAGTGGAACAGCAAAAACATTTTCTTTCATTTCGTTGACTCATCTATAAATATAATTAGTATCATGTAAATAGTGAAGTATTATTTTTATTAAATAAAGTAAGTTTTGGAACCCGTCAGTAGGGGATATCCCAAAAAAAAGACAATTTTTTATTAAAACAACACATCCTCACATTAAAAAAATGTATACAAGGTTCGTGTGGTAAAGTTTTCATTTAATTAACAAAAATAAAACTAGGGATCCCCTCAAGAAGTAGAGTCTGAGGCCGACTACCTCCTTTCCCTGCCCTAACCATCCCCCAGGTTTGTTGCTTAAAATAACATAAATTATTAATAATTTAATAATAAAATAACGTGTTATTTTTCTATTTCTAAATTAAAATGATTTTTATTATGGAGGAGGTTGCATTGTGTTGTGTATTTCAAAATAGATAGGTTTCCCCCAACTGTCATTTAATATCCCCTATGAAATAATTAAATTATAATACTTCGATAATTAAAGATGGTATTAATATTTTGTTGGAATTCAAAAATACTTAAAAAGGTTCTATTCCATATATATAATTTATATATTTGTTACTTATTTAATCAAATTTACAACTGTATAAACAATACAACTAGTAAAAATGCACACACCATATATATAAATATTCACAAACAGAAAAAGGGTTCAGTTTCACAGTAAGCAATTTTGAAATACAAATTTTTGTCAATTATAAACATATCAGAACCCATAATAACATAAACACTTCTAAAATAACATATAAGTAGTAAATAGTGAACTAATTCCTTTATTCCAGATTAATTTTTAAAAAAATATAATAGCTCAATAATCTATCTTTATTACCACCTCCTTTTATTTCTTTCCTTCATTATTTGATTGCATATTATTATACTTTGAAGGCGAATTATACTGCATATTATCGTACTTTTTAAGCTTATTTTTTTCTCCTATTTACATTGAAGTACCATAAACTTTCATTAATATTACAATAATACATTTAGTATTTTCATGTTTTACACTTTTCTCTTTTCCATGTTATCTCGGTAGTTGATATGTAAATAAAGAAATGTATAATTAATTAAACAATTACAGAAAAATTATATTTAATATAATTGTGGGTTGACTGTAGTTAATAATTAAAAAGAAGGATGGTTGGGGTGATCAGTCAAAATAAAAAATAGCAAAAATAAATAATAATATATTTTTTTATTTGTTTTATATATATATATTTAATATATGTGAAAATAATTATATTTCATCTTCTATTTGGTTTTATTACTTTTTATATAAATATTTTGAAGTCCTACCTCATCCTCAGGATCATTTAACATTATTTTAAACATAATTCATAATTTAACATAACAATTTAATACAACTCAACAGGTAAATACATTTAAAACAAAAATAATTTCTTATTTTTCCACATTCTGATACTTATATAAGTAGATATTGTTATTTGTACTATCCTCATTGTTTTCTAATTTATTCACATTTATATTTATACATATTGTCATTTTTAAAATTTAAAATATATCCTAATTTAATTTTAAATCGTATTTTAGTGTTACGATAATATACAAATAGAAGATAATGCTGTTTGTTGATAAATTGAGCGATCAAAACGAATTATTCCAGAAATTTTAAAGTTATAGTTTAAATATTTGTCAAAAGATAGCAGCACAAATCAAGAAAGATGAAAAAATAATAATAGTTCTAGCTAACGCCGCAAGAGGCCAGCACTATACAGACATCCTAATTTCCTGAGTGTTCCAGAGAAGCCGGCTCGAAAAATTTTATTTTGTATTAGGATAGTGGGAGGTCGAAGGAGCTCAACTGGTAGAGCTCACTCGTTGGACCGATAGTGCTGCTGTCTTTCGGCAGTCGCTAGAACTACAAGTACACCTGCACTTAACCCTACCTACTAGTTGAGCTCCTTCGACCTCCCACTATCCTATTACAAAATAAAATTTTTTGAGCTGGTTTTAGCTTTTAATCCCCTGTTGGGCGGATCTTATTTATTTTAATTATAATGATTTCTCGATTTGTGCTGCCATCTTTTAGTGAATAATTGAACTATTGTTTTAATATTATATTAAAAATCATCGGTTTTTTCAATTTATTGTTATTATTTACGGATTTATTAAAAAAGAGAGTTAAAATGATGAATTATTTCTAATATTTATTTATTTGTGTGTACTTAGTCATTTATATATTGCTTTAAAGATATTAACTAAATGAACTATGTAGATGAAATATAAAATAATGAAATTTAAAACAAGAAATTGTTATCATTTAAAATACATTCTTTATTTTAATTAATGAAACTCTATGATAGCATAGTGTGCAAATGGAGTAAGAAAAATTCAAATGAAATATCCGACTACTATTCTTTTCCTTTTTTTTTTTAGTTTTCAGATAAATCATATTGCACTATGCAATGATTAGCCATTTAATACTAAAATGAATATTATTTGTATAAAACACAATCCTGTACTATCATTTCTTCCTTAATAAACAATGTTAATAATTTTTCTCTTTTAAGTTAAATACACAAATTCACCTCCTACATTTTGAAAAACAAATTGGACATGGAAAGAGTAGAGAAGTGGTTTATAATTAACAAAATTTTTATAATTAGCTTAAAATAAATATCTTTGTTCAAGAAAATAATATGAATTACTTTAGATTGTGATAACGTAGCTGAAATATAGTTTTGCTTTTGAAATGATAATGAAGAATATTTTGTAGTACAATTAATAGTTTCTGAAATAAACTAATACTTTGCGCTAAACACACTTTTGATTTCTGGGATGTGTCATAATTATTTAAATTTATAAAGGTTATTTCAAAATTTCTGTAGCATTTATGTCACTGAAAAATCACAAATGACAGCAATTACATAATTTTTTTCACCGCTAACTATAGCATTTAGGAATACTAAGTATTATTAATTTTTTAGTAAATATTTAATTATTTGAACCATAAAAAAAAAAAATTGAAATTCTCTCTCCTTGATACTGCCATAAACTAGATGTCCTAACATAATTAACTATCCACATTGAACAATAAATGAGAGGGCACTACAAATCAGTTAGTGAAGGTGAAGATGAATTCAGCTCTGCGTTGAGTCCAGTAGCAGTATCGCTTCAAGATCCTCTCTCCCACTTTAGCACAGGCGGATCTACAGGGGTGGCTTTCGGGCTGAAGCCCCCTTCCCAAAATGGTAAAATATAACCATGTTTTACAGAAAAAAATATTAAAAACTATCTCTTAAAGTATTCTTGTTCGTGAAATTATATTTAATTGGACTTCAAGAACCACTTAAACGCCATTTCATATAGGTAATTAATTTCTTTATTTTTTTTCAAATTAATTGTCGTTATAAGTATATGAAAAAAAAATCTTTCGGGCTGAAGCCTCCCCCAAAATTAAATCCTGGATCCGCTAGTGCACTTTAGTATAGATAATATTT